TCGAGTATTACTATTCAGCGTTTTTACTATATTTCTAGGTTTCCTATTTCTACGTTTAATCGGCTCATGTCTCAGCCACAATATTTTGAGGCCAATTTTATTTACGAACCCAGTTAAACTTATTTACTAGCCTATTTCAACGTGCTAATTATTACATTTAGGCGACGCTTGTTGTAGACTGGCATACACAGTGTTTTCGGTAATAAATACCATTTTATACACATGCGCAGATCGATTCGCCAGCAGCAAGTCATCGCCAGCAGCAGCGAGTCGCCAGCAGCGAGATGTCGCTGCAGCAAAACACTATATAATTGTACACGGTACCAACGCTGTTCTAATATAGACAATGGGTCGTGTCTCATATTATTTGTTATATTTTTATTATTCGTTGTTTTCACTTGACTCGCATAAATAATTTTGTTCGAAGAACATTTATATGCAGTTGTACTTCGCAGCACTTCACTTGCAATTTGCAATTTCTAGTTACGATACTTTTCTTTGACTTCGAAAATCTTTAACTTAAGATAGCCCATCTCACGATTTCTGCATGCAAATTCTGTAACAACCATGGTACAGAGCCACGGTAATAACTAGGACGCCCTTTCTCAAAAAGGATAAATTTTTATTATAGAGCTCTTAACCAACTTACTAAAAAAAGAAAAGAAAAGAAAAAACCTTCGCCAGATGATGGACGATTAAATAATACTATTGTTTCAGCTTCATACTATTTATTTAGTTTGTATAATACTTAACAGAAACCATATGGTTTTATGTATTCAGAAGTATCACCAGCAAAAGAAGTTGACAGGTAGGCCTACCACTGATACTAACATGGTGTACTACACAGCACGACGATAACAACGACAATAAGGATGCACTTTTGCCGCCGACATATCATTTCACCAACACGTCATTTGGCTGAAAAGACATCCGCCTACAGGAGGACGATTCGCCAATAATGAATTCGCCTATAGCCTATTTGACGACAGCTTCACCGAAAGCCAATTCGCCGACAGAAAAAAATCGCCAACAACCTATTCGCCGACAGACATTCGCCGACAGCCAATTCCCCGACAACCAATTTACCGACAGCCAATATGCCGACAATTTAGTTTTAAAATTATGCATTTCCCTGAAAAAGAATTCTTCGAGAAAATGGTAATCTTCTATGAAAAATAGTCTGTATTTCTCATTTTTTAAATTCTTTTGCGTAAAACTAAAAATTATGCCAATATTTTTCCATTGTTTATGATAAATAGAGTAATGCATATGCATTTAAAAAAAATCTTTTTTAGTGAAATTTTGCTGGAAATGGGGCGTTAAGTATTATTATAAAACAATCTTATAAATGTACGGTAGAAACAAAGAGTATCTTAGGTAGAAATTATTGGTCCAATCGTTAGTAAAATATAAGTTTAATTGATTCTTGGGATTATATCGGTTCAATTTAGTGGAATTTGCTTGATTAAAAAACGGTCACAGATGATAGAGTTGCTTCCCGTATCATACTTTTACTTAAACTTATCATACACTTTAAAATGTAAATTTGATTGAATTTGTATAGTAAACCATGGAGGTATTATTCAATTAATACCATGGAGGTATTATTCAATTAATACCTCCGTGATTTAATCAAAAATCTTAATAATAATAATAATAATAATAATAATAATAATAATAATAATAATAATAATAATAATAATAACAATAACAATAACAATAATAATAATAATAATAATAATAATAATAATAACAAGATAAAGTTCTCCGCGATTTCTCTATTTCAAATTCTATAATAACCTAACGCCCTCTCACAAAAGTGATTACGGTACTTTTCAACTTTGACTTCAAAGATCGTTAACTGAAGATAGCGCATCTCATGATTTATGCATGCAAATTCTGTAACAACCATGGTAATAACTAGGACGCCCTCTCTCAATAAGGATTACTCTATTACTGTACATCAGCTCTGTTTACGTCTGTATTTGCTGTATTCAGTAACCCATGTTATAATTCTAAATTAAAAATTATCTACGAAATGATTTAACTACTGTAGGCTTAGTTAGTAACTAATACGGTAAAGGGCTAATTTAGTTTTAGCTATTTTGTTGCCATACCAATTAATAATTATTAAATAAACATAATGTTATTTTCTTATTTGTATTTTTTTTTTTTTTTGAAAATGCGAAAGTATTATACTTTATATTTTGAAATCGTTATTTTATATTATGTTTAGTTTATTCGTTAGGCGATGTGTTACAAATACCGTTGCAAAATTCTCTCGCATGCGTAGAAGCTACACAATTTTTGGCACGTCGGCGGCTCATGTTTGGCATGGCGGACTTACAAAAGAGCCCAATACGTCGATGAATGTTGTATTTACCTATGGGCAATTCAATCAAATAGTGCCGTTTATACAATTAAAGAAAACATTTTCAGCGAATTGACAGTCTGCGTCGGCGAAAGTTTTCATTTTTTGTGGCTGTCGGCAAAATGTCATGTCGGCCAAACAACGTGTCTAAAAATAACGTGTCGCGAAAGTCAATTCGGTCAATTTTCTGGCAGCGAAGTGTCCAGTGGCGGCTCTAACATATAATTTATGGGGGGAGGTGTTCTGTCCTCCCAAAACAAGATTTTTCTTTTTAAATTGGGACTTCTAGATGGCCGGAAATGGCTGGGATGGGAAAATTAGGCCTATTTTGTTTTCTTTTGGTCCGAGACCAAACCGATGGGGGCTTAAGCCCCCTGTCCCCCCGCTGGCGCCGCCGCCGCCACTTCAAGTGTCTGTCGGCAGATTCGCATTCGGCGAAAGATCCCTTCACTCTTCCCAGGTAGCAAGCAAACATGGGCCCCATATTTGAAATGCATGGGCCAAAATGTGCCCCCCCCCCCTACAGTTTGGCCTATACAGGAATGAGCTACCAGTGAACCCTAAATCCTTAAGGGTCCCATAAAGGTTGGCCCAACTGCAAATGTGGGATATATTTGGGTCCCTTAAGGTTTGAATTTTGGTTTCATTTGGTGACACATATGGGTTTGTCCAAGTTAATTCATAGGCCCATTGTGGGCTCTATCTGGGTTTTAAGGGGTTGAATCTTGGTTGAAATGTAAGGGGACCCTATAAATTGGCCCATATGGGAATGAGCTGCCTGTGCACCCACAATCCATAAGGGTCCCATAAAGTTCATGGGCCCGTTAAAGAATATATTTGGGCACCTTAGGTTTGCATTATGGTTTCATTTGGGACCCATATGGGTTTTACCAAATTAATTCATGGAGTCATTATGGGCTACATCTGGGTTTTTTGAGGATTAAAATGTAAGGGGCCACTATAAATTGGCCCATACGGGAATGAGCTGCCTGTGCACCCAAAATCCATAAGGGTCCCATAAATTTCATGGGCCCGATAAAGGATATATTGGGGCCCCTTAGGTGTGCATTATGGTTTTAAATTGGACCCATGTGGGTTTTGTCCAAACTAGTTTACGGGCCCATGCTGGGCTATATCTGGTTTTTTTTCAGGGCTGAATAGGAATTGAAATGTAAGGGGGCCACTAAAATTTGTTGGGTACTGTATTGTGTTTTTCACAACTGTTGAACTGGTCCATGTTCCAAATGAACACAACTAATGATTGAATAACAGACAAATAATAACAAAGCGTAAAACCCTCAGGCAAGCTGCACACGGCATACCAGAATACGTGAGCCTACGAGACTCCCTGCCAACTGTAACAGAAACTAAAAACCCACAACCAAACAAAACGAAACTACCAAACCTAGTAACAAAACCCAACTACCAAAACCAAAGTGAAGACAAAACACACCCTAAAAACAATGCAAATCCCAACTATCTAACAAACAACGGTGAACGAACCAAATCGCGAGCAGAAAATTTTAAACCAAAACTAGTATGGTGACTTGCCAAGTGTGGAACAAGATTCAAGGGTCTGGTAGCACGAAATGTACACGATCTAACCGGGCAACCTATCATAACTTCGACGTCTGGGTGTTCCTTATCGATATGATCGATTCACCTTACAATGTGGGCTGGTAATCCTAAGACCCCTCTCCTTAATAAACCTAGAAGCCTGGAGTTTCTTCCTCGCTGCCAAGATCTGTTTACGTTCAAACGCCTTTCCATCATAGTCACCGTCCGACGAACCATTGGAACCATTGGATTCACCAATGACTAAACTTTGCTTCGTCGAGTCTGAAAGAGGCCCTATCTTGGAATCCGCCCACACATCACTACTACCCTCATCTGGATCCACCTCAATCTCCTCCTGTGACACAACTTCACCGACCTCATCCCCCCCAGCAATAACCTTCCGCACAACCACATCTTCTTTCTCAACATCCTCCACTACATCCGCTATATTATACCACGAGCCTTCGCGTTGAAGGAAACCGGACAGTTCCGGAAAATATGACCCGAACCATTACATATCGTGCAAACGATGTCATTCTTGCAGTCAGATACAACATGACCCAGCTCCAAACATTTGCTACACTTTCGTCTAACACATTCCCGAATCAGATGACCTTCCTCACCACATTACAAACACGTACGTAGAGGCTGACCCCAATACGACACCCAACAATTGCGGGACCCAATACGAAGCTGAGACGGGATGTCTGACTTCAATTGCAACACAAACAGCCTATTCCGATTTAAGATACTAGGATACTGACGATGCGATAGTATTCGATAATTTAGCACCTTGCCAAACTTTACAGAACACACTCAACCAACTCATTTGGCACTTCCAGCTCGACATACAAAACCGTACCGTAACTCTACTCATTCATCTGAACCTCTGGACCAGACACCAATCTTCCCAATTCACCTGCCGCACGTCGAGAACTTACAGGAGTCTTAATGGAAACATCAAACGAACCATCAGACAACGATTGAACCCCAACAACCTTTTCCAACTTAGGACCCGCACGCCGAAGATTAGCAAATACCGTCTCCACACCAACCTTGTCCTTATACCTCAAACTGAGAGACACAGCCCTCCGCATTTTCCTAGTCAATACTCGAATATACAATTCGTACTACCAAAGAGTATAAATAGAACAAGAGAGCCAACAACGCTCATTTATGAGAGCGTAAAAAAAAAAACGATACGCCCTACGCAGCTAGTGTAGGACGCCAACTAACGCTTGTATGTAGTACTCCACCGCGCACGGTAGGTTTGTCTGTTTATCTGTTCTCCACAAGATACTGTACTTTTGTTTTCTGCTTACTGAGTTTATAGCGGGCGGACTTCTACCGCGCTGCGCAGCGCTGCACTTAGACTTGCCACAAGTCTCTTATTTGTTATTATTTTTCTCATTCTGGACAGCGCCACCAACGAGAAAGTTGATTTAGAGCAAAGATCTTATATAAACACAAGATAGCGTTCTCCGCGATTTACGCGTGCAAATTCTGTAATAAGGCATGAATGGCGCCCTCTTGCTAAATTGGAAACTTTTGACCCTTGACCGCTCTGATTTGACCATACAGTACACCGCCTGTGAACAGCAGAACAGGAACCATCTCAGATCCATGGCAACAGATAGGACGCCCTCTTCCAAAACTTATTACTTTTTCTCTTCGGTAATAGCGCA